TGTAGAAAACACGTAAAGAACAAACACAGTTGGTACTATTACTTTGACAAGAAGCCAGACAGTGCTCAAATCAATACGCTTAATGTCGATGAAACCAAAAAATGTGAAGCCGGTGATCAGACAATACCGCGTAAAAGCAGGGCAATTGCCTCTTTTGATCCTACAAACAACATTGCCAAGAACTTTTTTTCGTGGCTAACTGGCAGTGGTGGGGGCTGTAAAAGTGACCGACAAGCACAACAGATCGTAAGCAAGTGCTTAAAGTTTCTCAAGTTTTGTTGCGAAGACGAAGAGGAGCTCACATTTGACATTGTGGACTTTAGTTTATGTTCACCGAATCTCTTTTTCAAGTTTGTTGATATGATGCAGGATGATTGGAATCTGGGACACACGGGATGCATAGGCTACTTGGATGCCATTGCAGAATTGGTGGATTATGGAAAGTGAATGGAGAATCGGAATCAGTATTGAGAGGGCTGGCTTCAACAGAAATTTACTTGAAAAAAGTGCGCAAAACCGTTTCCAAAATGATGCGCTTGCAGTGGACCAGCGAACTGGACATCGATGCCTTAGAAGCCAAGGGGCACTGGGCCACACTAGAACTACTGTTGGAAGTCGTGGGGCGCTACTTGCCGTACTACGAGAACCTACTGAAATCATGCAAGAAGAAACCGGGTGCTGTTTTGCCAATAGATTTATCTTTTGCTACCAAATTTTTGGTCGTCTTTTTATTTATCAAGGTCAAGGGCTCGCGCCCCATGACATATCAGTACTTAACGGTAGAAATGGTGAACAAAGCCAAGACTAATGGTGGATTTATAGACCAGAAAATGTTCCAAACGGCTGGAAAAGTTGGCTTCGATTCTCTTTACGTGACTGAGATGAGCATGCAAGTGTTGGATGGCTACATCAACCACACTCGTCCCCTACTAAGACCGACCTGGGACTTTGTATTGGTGACAAGAAATGGAGGGCAGCACAATAAGCTGGAAGAGCTAATGAGTAAACTGGTCTTCGATGCAACGGGCAAATACGTTCACCCGACTCGCTATCAACAGATTGTGGAGACCGCGAGTTGCAGGCAGCTGAGCAGCAGCACGCAAAGCACAATCTCCGAGGACCAGAAACATAGCTCCATTGTTGCAAGGGTTCACTATCAGAAGCAGTGATCGCGCGAGGCGGCGAGCAAAGCACATGAATATTTGGAAGGATTGCACGGGAAAAAGGGATCAGAGCCAAGAATAGACGTGCGCTTGAGGCTTTCAGGCAATTCTGCGTCATCTGAAGATCAAAATGGTAGCAAAACCGATACTTCCTCTAACGACGAGGGAGAAAAGATCACAGAAACACAACCCAAGCGTCTTTCAGGTGTCCCGAGACTAAAGCGAGGAAATGCGTTTATAGTGACAGATTTCCTGGTGGGAAAAAAGAGTTTGATGTTCACCCCTGAAGAAGACAATTATCTAAAAGCAGGCATTGAGCAACACGGCTACGGTCAATGGAAAGTGATTCTCAGGGATTGCGAATTTCATTTTCAAGAGGGAAGGACAGCCAAGTCACTGCTGAGCCGTGCAGCGCGAAGATTTGGATCACTTTCTAAGTTATCCTAGAACTTTACATTTACCCCAGAATAAAAAGATATCCTTGAAATATAAAGAACAACCAAGGCAATCAGCGATATGGTTCAGTACATGGCAAGCAACATTTTATTGTTGTTGGAAGAACAAATAAATTACTGTTGACTTGAGAAATACATGTTTATTTTGTTGCTTTGGCAATGTTTTTTCGTAACTCGCTGGCTTGAGGAGGAACGCTTGCGCTTACTGGCTTCAGTGGTCATGGTTCAGACTGACATTGCTCTGCTAGGGACAGGAGTCATGAAAAATGTCGCTTTGTCACTGTCGCTGTCATCGTCAGATCCAGTAACGTAGCTGAACGTGCACGGCGACTGCATTCCATATTGTTCCAGGTTGTCTTGGGACACGTAATTCGGCGTTCTGGGTTTTTCTTGCTCTAATACCTCTTCCATTTCTTCTCTCTGGCTCGAGCTCGGGACTGGCAGTGCTTCGAAGAGGGTTTTCACCATGTGTTGGTCTTCCTTTCTCAACAGTCCGAGCTCCACGCATACTTTTTTCCTCTCCGCAAGGGCTTCCTGGCATCCAAGATCATCTTCCCAGCTTAATATACCGCTTTTTAAAACCAAGTCGGGACATAGATCTTTTTATTACAGAACTATGACATTGTGGAATGCGTTAAAACCCTATTTTAAATTAAGTGTATCTCTTATCATTTTCAAACGTAAAATGAAAAGCCTTCCTTTTAAATCAATTTTTAATGTCATAAATTTATATGTAAATAGTATCTTAATAGTTTATTGATAATCAATTTCTGATGTCATAAATTCTATATGCAAATAGTTCCTTAATAATTGTTTATTGACAATTCTTGAGTATTATTTTTTATTATTTATTTATTTATTGATTATATTATATTTTATTTTTTTTGATTACCTGTACGATTAATATTTGTCTCTGAAAAGCCCCCATGGGGAGTTGACAATAAAATTTGTATTGTATTGTAAGTTGCACCAATTTGCACTAAGTTGCACCAAACTACACAAAGTTGTTTCATAATGTTGACAGGCCATACACGACTCCCTTTGGTCAAGTTGTTGTATATCTTTGACCTTTAGGCTTCGCTTCATGATTTGTGTTGTTCATAATGTTGACAGGCTATTCACGTCTCTCTTTGGCTCAGTTGCTGTTGCTTTGACCTTACCTTCATAGTTTAGCTCTTAAGAGTATATCTTGTAGTGACTTTCCTCTTTTGTAAGATATTATGGGAGGGTCTTTAAAGATTTCTCTAAGCAACGGTTGGTTTTCTATAAGATACCATTTGTGCATGACGATTTCTTTTTAGGTTCGGTACTGAGGGGCGGTATTCTGTCACGAATGGTAGTATTTTCTTGTGCGTTTTTGTTTTCTTTTGCAAAGCCGACATTCTTTCGTGGTGCTTTACTTCTGATAGGTGTTTACCTATCACTTTATCTCTATAACCTCTCATACGGAGTCTTTGCTTGAAATTAGTTATGTTCTCTTCGAACATTTTCTCAGAAGAGTTTGTTCTGAGTGATCTTAAAGCCTCGCCTTTTATGAATCCTTTCTTAACCCCTGGAGGGTGACATGAAGAGAAGTACGTGAATTGGAAAGTTTCTGTCGGTTTGAAGTGTGTACGCACATGTAGGATTGATTCCTTCTTGAATCTTTCTCCTTTATAAATACATGTATCCAGAAAGGCGGTTTCCGTTTCTGAAAGTTCAGCAGTAAATTTTATGGTCGGGTGGTGGTTATTTGCTAGTTCGATGAATGAGTATATTTCTTCTTTGTTTACATACCACAATGAGAATATGTCATCGATTAATCTCTTCCACACTAGTGGTTTGTGTGGACTTTTGTTAATAATTTCTGTCTCTATTGCAGACATAAAAATGTGAGCAAATGCAACTGCCATTTTTGTTCCCATAGCTGTACCTTGTACTTGGAGGTAGTTTTTTCCAACAAATTGCAAAGAATTCTTCATTAGGATTAGTCTGAGCATATCTGCGAGGTATTGGCTGGGTATGGGAGGTTTGTTTTGATAGAATGTTTCGTATGCTTTGCATTTAATGGTAATTCCTTTCTCCTGTGGGATGTTTGTGTATGGGCTAGTTACATCCATAGAGACAAGAATAGTATTTTCTACGACCCTGGTTTTCTCTATGAAGTTGATAAAGTTTGTCTTATCTTAAAGATACGATTTTTGCGATTTAGCAATTGGTTGGAGGAGACTATCAATAAATGATGAGATTCTTTCCATCAGGCCTTCGTAGCCCTATATGATCGGTCTTCCAACTGGTATTGGTTTGTGAATCTTTGTGAGAGTCTAGAATTGTGGTATTCGCGGTGGATTTGGCGTGAGGGATAGCCATCGTCTTGTCATCTCGCCTATATGTTTCTCTTTGTAAAGTTTATCTATCAATTTCTTGACCTTTCTAGAGGTTTCTACTACCATTGGTGTTTCTAAGGGTTTGTAGTTTTCTCTGTCATCTAATTGTATTTGACCTTCTTTTTTTTTGTCTTCTTTTGAGAACAACAGTAGAAGAGCCTTTATCTGCTCGTGTAATGTTGATTGTCGGGTTTTGTTATATTGGTTTGAGGGCAAGTTTGTCCCTCCTGGGTAGATTGTTCTCGGCGTGATAGTATTTATATTAGCAAGCTGTAATTTAGCCTCTTCTAGGTATGTTTCTAGTGGCTGAACTGATGGCTGAACTGGTGGCTCCCAGTCTGACTTTACATGAAAGGGGTGTTGCTCTTTATCTTTTCAATGAAAGATATATTGTAGATGCATTCGTCTAGCAAAAGCGTTGAAATCTTTTAATAGTTCTGCTCTAATGTGACCTGTGTTTGTCACTGGTGTGGGGATAAATTTAAGACCCCTTGACAGAACATTTATCTGATCGCATATCATTTTGTAAACTGAGAGGTTTTTCTTTCTTGCTTCTGTTATGTTCTTATCTAAATTGCACTATTTTTCGCCTCCGTTCATTGCGTTTTTTGGTTGTCAACGACCGCTTTTTCTTTCTTCTTTCCCTTTTTAGATAATCTCTATTCTCAGAAAACACTCTGGGATAAGATTCACTTTGTTTATTCTCTTTAGCATTTTGTTGAGTTCGTCTATTTTCTTCTGGATATTCTCTAGTTTCTGTTCGTGACTGAATTGTAGAGTATTAACTCTTACCTTATCTGACATGTCTTTCCTCTTTCCTTTGCGTGATTCCAGCTCGAGTTTTACAAGTCTAGGTTTGCTTCTTTCGACCCTACAGTCGTGAAACTTAACGAGCGTGCCTAAAACTTAAAACGTTATGCGTCTTTTCTAATCCAGCTTATGTCTCATTTGAATTCTTTGTCCTGGGCAATTTTTGCCCTTGCGTTATAACGCAAAGTTTTTGGACATGTATTGTTCTCAATAGGTTTCTTCAATTTGGCGAGGGATCCTCTGGACTTTTGTATCTTGTCCTTAATGGTGTTTTCAAGCTCTTCTGTAGTAAGGCGCTGTGTTTTAAATGGTATGTGTTCTTTCTGTTCACGAGAGTCATCATGATGACGTTTCTGTGGACCCGTTTTGCGCGGTTTTTGGACTTGGCACCATTTTCTTATCATTGGTGTTTGTTTTTTTCACATTTAGTCTTTTGGCCTCTGTGGGGTCGCCGTTTCTTCTCTCAGCATTGTTAGTCTTTCTGTTTCTTTGCAATGGCTGATCCCCATTTTCATGAAGGTTTGTGTTTTTGTGCCTTTCTGTTGACATTTGTCCACACGGTATGTCTTCGTCATCCGAAGCTAATAGGCTTTCTTCTGCAGGATCGTTGGCTATATCAGCGACTATTGAAGGGCTTGTTGTAAGAAGTCCTTCTTCGTTTACTAGTTTGTTATCTGCCATGATGATTTCGAGAGTAAATTCTCAAGCAAGACTCGAGTTTCGCTCCTTTCAGTGGACCTCGTCAATTGCTACTATGATAGGTTATGTTACCTCTAAAAGCATTCGTGCATTTCTTTTTCCAGAAAAGAAAAGTCTAAAAGTAGAGTATTTCAATACGTCTCCATAAAATACTGTAAGCTGGTTTGTAGCAAATACTCTATATTGCAGTGTTTCTTATTTTTATAGTTTGACAACAAACATGTCAGTAATTAATTTAAAACATTTAAAATCACTTATCGATATCGCACATTACAGAAATGATGATCCCCATTGTATGCCTCGGCGGTTGCTCTGCCAACGTTTGTCCTCACACGTTTGGCAAAGAGGGTGTTTTTCCGGTTGAATTCAAAATATAATGTGTGTAGTTCTTGCCGGGTATATTGCTCCTTTCCTGTCTCAGTCAAACAAAACACTCCTGAGCAATACTTTCAAATACTTGCTTCTCTAGTGAACCGTACTCTCTTCCCATGGTCTCTTTGGAAACTGTCCAGTCAGGTTGATTTCATGAGTGCAGTTATGCACCAGCAGAAACAACTAAGCTTAGCTTCAACCAACCTCGCTGTGTTTCACTCAGCAGCGTTTACGCTCTCAGCATAAAAGGAAGCATTATGCGTCATGTTTAAACCGATAGCAGTACAAAGTGTAAACATTGCCATTATCATCTCAGAAATTTCCATTTAAAAGGAGGTCTTCAAACGAAAACGCAACATACAATTGACAAAAACAAGAGCGCATTTTTATCCACCAGCTAATTTCCTTGTTTCTCGGTCCCGCCCTCGCCCCGCCTCTAGACCAGTTAGTCATGTGACCAAAACACAACACTTACAGGGGGCAATAACGTGGAGGAAAGAGCTGTATTATTTCGCTTTTCTACGTTCTTACTTAGTAATGGTCAAGTACATCAAATCGTTTGGCACTGAGCAATCATGACAACATAAACAAAGTGCAGTTTTACGCACCAGAGTTCGTACCCTTTTTCAGAAACAATTTTCCAGGACTTTCCCACTCTTCAGATTGATTTTTCCAGGACTCCAAAATTCACATTAACGCTTTCACTGTCAAAAGTGACAAATAAATTATTTCTACTTACAATTTCAGCACATTTGCAGGCAAACAAATGAGGGGAATAAACAGAAAGTAAAATAGAGACAAATTGATTGAACACTAAATTATCAGAAGTAACATAAGAAGTCCATGGTGGATAGTTAGTAGAATTATTATTCCCATCTTGGGATTGAAAGTTTCTAGTAATTCTTTGTTACGTTGCATTATACTTCAGTTTACAGTTCAATTATTGTCAATAAAATCACCATCAAGGACTAGCTCCTAGTTGGTCATAGTTGATTCATGATCGACCAGTAAATTATACCCGCTCACACGGAGTTTCGCCGCCACAAATAGTTTTAGCCGCGTGACAATTGGCTTCTCCTACAGCTGCTGGAGCTTTCCATCTAACTGCTCATCAATGCCTTTCAAGGTTGCCCTCTTTTCCATGGCAGATCTTCGCAAACTGTTTGAGTTGGCAACCCAAGTAAGGTTTCTTGAATTTTCCGCCTTGTCAGCAAATTCATCTACAGTCTTCAGAAGAGCCCTTATATCAGTTCCAACTGTCATTTTTCTTAAGCTCATCGATCTCATCCATTGTTGCCTTTCGTTTTAGCAATTTTTCCTGGGACACTTAACTCTTCTGCGCTTCTAGATAGGAAAGATACTTCTGTCAAGCTCCAACAGATGATATAAGAAGTTGCTTTCAGATTTGTCAATTGACAAGGCCTGAAACTGATTAAATGTGACCATGAATAATCCTCTGTGCACTGAACGATCTTTCTGACAGGTTCTCAACTGTCACTTATTGTTTACAGAAAAGCCTCTATTAACTGTGGATTGACCATGAGACATAAGCAACAGTAGTTTAACCACACTCCACTGACACTTTAGCTAGTTGCTTATTACCAGCCATGTGTTCATACAGTAGTGTCAACTCTTGAAATGGGTTCACTTGGGTCAAAATCTTCAAAGACAGGATTACCTCCACATTCATCCAGAAACTGTCCAGACTGATATATCTCCTTATCACACTCATTAGTTTTCAATCTGTGGGCTTCCAGAAGAATTTCAAAAACTCTTTTCATTTTGCTGACTCATGTTTCTTTCTCTCTTTCCATTAGCATATTTCTTACTAGTCCATAATTTATTGGTGTTTTGTCAAGCAGTTTAGAAGCTGTTTCTGCACCAAAATCTGTACATTCCATTTTGAATTGAAGAACTTGCCTTTCACAAATTCCTCAGACTTTTCTTTCAGCATCTGTTGTGCTACAAAGCCAACATCAGCTTTCTTGTAGTCTAACTGCTGTTCTTTATCGGTAGGCTTCAATTTCAGGATCTTCAAAGGAGATGTTGCGTTTCCGTAAGATAAATATGCTTCTTTCCCTTTTCGCAGCTTTTCAATGCTGATTCTCCCATGTTTGATACATCAAATGCCTTCGAGCAAATTTTGCATTTTGCTTCAAACTTGTCCATGTCACGTTCCAACCACAATTTATAGGAAGAGTTTCCAACCAATGTTTAAAACTAAAGACACCCATCGACTGATGTATAGGTCTCCAACTTACGAAATCATGCATATCTCAAGGTTACTAAGGGACTATGACAAGGAAAAAAACATAAAAGAGAAATATTTATGTGGTCAACACCACAGACGCATAGCATGTTATAATTATAATTCTCAAGAACATTATTACTTTATTCAGTTTAACAGATTTCCAGGACTTTCCAGGACCAGCAGTATTATTCCAGGACTTTCCAGGATTTCCAGGACCCGTACAAACCCTGATGCACTTTCGACGTACAAAGCTCGAATTTCTTTCTGGAAGGGAAAACCTAAATAGATGACTGTACAAGCTACATGTAAGCTAAGTGTTTGAGTTTATGAGTGATTGTGTTTCTGTCAATAATAGCTGGATATAATTCGATGGTAAATACAGCTCAGAGGCTATGTGCTGGCAGAATAACTTATCGTTGGTCGTCTTAAAATCTGGGTCAGTAATTTGCATGGGTATTTTGTCAATAGACCTTCAGGCTTTTATTAACGTTTTTGCCCTACTTACCAGAAAATTGAGATTAATGTTGTGGTGGCAATAATTGTTTTTTTTTCTCTCTGCAACCTACCTGTTTTGATCTTAGCTACTTGGAATGTCTTTCAATTTTGGACTCTCACAAAGCAGTAGAAAAGAGACCTACTTTGTTAATTACATTTTTGTTCGGGGTTCAAAGGAAGTCAGCTTGACAGCTTGCTAGTCCAGACAGTCGTGTCCAATACTGTTGACATGATACGAGTGGAAAAACACTTTTCACAACTTGTATGAGTGGACAAGTTGTCCCGACTCGATAGACAGAGTTAGCAAGTGTAAAATAAATCTCATTAGTTTACTAGGGACGGCAACTAAGTTGTCCAGTCGTACGGATGGACAAGTTGTCTCGACCCGACAGACAGAGTTGTTGAGTGGAAAATGCATTTCATTAGTTAACTAGGGACAGCAACTGAGTTGTTGAGTCATACAAGTGGACAAGTTGTCGTGACCCGAAAGACAGAGTTGTCGAGTGGAAACTCGTTCTATGCGAACAGATGCGAAGGAACACGCGCCCCAGACATTGTGTATGCCTTGTTCTATAAGCAATGATCGCACATAAGCCAGGCAAAGGAACAAGCGCATCACACGCTGTCTATTCATTGTTTTTTAAACAAAGATCTAACTTAAACCACGCGAAGGAACATGCGCCCTACACACTGTGTATGCCTTGTTCTATAAACAACGATCTGACATAAGCCATGCGAAGGAACAAAAGCGCTTCACACTGTATATTCATTGTTCTTTCAACAAAGATCCGACTTAAACCACGCGAAGGAACAGGCGCCCTACACACTGTGTATGGCTTGCTCTATAAGCAAAGATCCGACATAAGACACGTGAAGAAACAAGCGCCCTATGCACTGTGTATGCCTCGTTCTAAAAGCAAAGATCTGACATAAGCCATGTGAAGGACCAAGCGTGCTACGCACTCTGTATGCCTCATTCTATAAGCAAACATCCGACATCAGCCACGCGAAGGAAAGAGCACTCTACACACTGTATATTCATAGTACGAAATGTCTAAATTTAGGACCTAGTTTGTGGCCAAAACTGGAAGCGACCCACTTACTATACGTGTTTGAGCAGCGTTTTCAAAAGCTAGAATTGAATTTCTTGCTGGAGATGCTGATTCCCCGAACTGTATTTTGTGTAGTACACGATAGTATACACATTTGTAAATAATTTTAAGGCACACTTTATCACACAAGTATCTCTGAAGTTTATTTCACACAAAAATGTAAATAAGGCATGTCACTCTGCACACAACAGATCTCCACCCCAAATGTTTTTTAATAATCATACATGACGTGGGACATGTTAAGAAAAGCTAAAAATTTCTGCTCCATTTATCTACGATATTCCTCATTTTGCAATTAACTTCCCTACCACTTTCGGAGGTCGAGTTGTGTCATTTAATAAAATCAGGTAGCACGCATAGCAGGTGGTGACATTTTCATTTTGACTGACTTTAGCTTTCTGTTTTGGTCTAAATTTTGACCCTGACTGCCGCCTTTTACATGCCATATAATCCTGAAAAGACTTTGCACTGCTTGGTTTCGTTCTATCTAAAACTGACCTTTGAAAGAAAAGTTTAGGACCCTGACTGGTTCTTGTACCTGGAGAAGACAAACCACACTTGGTGAGCCACACTTCCAGCAGAATTTTCCATCACTACTTTTTTTTTTAGAACAAGATGTACAAAACCTAATGAAAAGAAAATAAATGCTGTAAAGATTAATGCAGTGCACTACTCCAAATAAGCACCCCCTGTCTAATGAGTACTCCCCTTCGAGTGTGATTTTGTTTGAGAGCAGTGGTGGATCTAGGGGAGGGGTATAAGGTGCCTTGGCTCCAATCCTATTTTAAGGCCAAACAGAACCCTTGAAAGGCTGAGAAAACCAATTTAGACTGCAGGGCTCCTCTTATTCCAGGGTTTGGATGAGTGGGTCCCCCTCTTATCTCAGGCTCTGGATGAACAAGCCTGCCACTTATGTGAAAGTCTGGATCCACTAGTGAAGGGTACTTCTATTATGCCCCTGTTCTAATTATTGCCCCTACCCTATAAGTGCCTTTCTTCACAAAAGCACTTCACAAGGTATTTGCTGCTGTCCAATAAACTTGTGCATCTCAAAATCCCTGACATTAACTAAACAAAAACACCATATTCGTTCATTCTTTTTTAGTTTTCCAGATGCTGTTTTTTCTCAAAAAAGAATACTGTACACACTATGTCCCATAAGTGCCTTCCCTTGAGGTTCCAAAAAGTAAAAAAAAACATCCTCAGCATGTGGCAAAGAATTTAAAGGAACTGCTAATTAAGGACTTCAATTGTAATTGTATTTGTAAATAAGCACAGACTTTCAACAGTAGAGGAGAAGATGTTTAGTAGAATAAGTTTGAATCCTGCTATCGTAAAATTATTTTATCATTTTAGAAATGCCAGTCAGTGTAAAACGCGAACTGCGGACTGTTGTTCTCACTATGCAAAGAAGTAGGTGACAACAATAGGCCCTTTGTTTCAAGAACATCAAGACACTAGTCCACAGTTAATCTGCAGTCTGCACTGACTGAACAGCAACGACTTGAGTCACAACGGGCTTTCCACAACTGTTGACCACATTAAGCATATCTAAACAAGGAGTGTTGAACTTTGGGGAAAGAAAACTTAGATGAAGTTCAAAGTAAGGAAATAGTACTGTCCTAAGCAAAAATGTACTCACACGAAGTCTTCCTTTCCACCGTCTGCCATTTTGTTTGACTTCTCCGAGGCTCTCACATGTAAAAAAGCAGGAAATTAAGATTGAAGGAAACTGGAGACCAGCAAGTGTTGAAGCCGCGGATCCAAGCAGCGCAAAAGTAAGTTTTGCCGTGGCAGATGTGGATCACCGTCGCTTTAAAGTGGTGGGCGCAACAAAGAACGGGGTGCACAAGGGACACACCAAAGAAGTAGGTCACTCTTCCCTCGCATAACTCTCTCATGTGCTCCTTTTTTTTTCCTGCGCATTACTTCCAAGCGCCTACTACGCAGGCTAAAGATTGGGCAATTATTGGTGAAAATGGCCTCCTTAAAATTTTGGTATAAAGAAAAAAATCCTAAGAATGTATAATGAAATTACGGGAAAGATCTTTTGGGAAGACCGAATACGAATGCTAAATGTTTTTATGGGACAAAAAATTTCTATGATTGGCGAGATGCCAAAGTTTCCTTAAAACATCCTAAGAGAGAAAGGGTTTTAAGGGCAGCTCAGAAGTAGCACAGAAGAGTTCTTAAATATACAAAAACGATTTTAGATAGTAATTGAGATGCATTTAGAAAGGTCAATTATTGGGTTCTTCCGATAAGGAGGGAACGGCTTTTACAAAGTGTTTGCAACATCTTCATTATGGTTGTCTAATAAGTACAGCATTAAGAAAAGAAAACGCCATCTGTTCACGTGCTTTGTAATGTGCGAAAATCGTGAGACCCATGAGAATAGCTGCTCGCAGACTTCTGTGTTTACATCCTAAAGGGAAAACAACACAAAGGACAAAGTTAATGAGTATCCAATACCGGGTAGTTTACAAATATAGTTAGTTCAGCGGGACAGCGCGACAGATGGCGGCTACAACTGGTTGCCCTTACTCCACTAGCCCGTATGGTTATTCCAGGCAGTTAGTGCTATAATATATTTTTAACAGATTCTTCGTCTAATATAGTCCTGGATAAAGTGACAGTACAAATAATGATTGTTTGTGTTGTTTTCAACCCAATATTTGCTTAGGGTGACGTTATTTACAGGATGGCAGACATAGTGTGTTTGGGCTGTAAGCCACAAACACTTCTAGTTCAAAAGCCATAGTGGTGAAAACTATGTTATCATTCCTTTAGTAACAAAGTGTTGAATTTGTCAAGTTAGTCTATCTTTTGAAAAAATTTTCTTCAATTACCGTAATATTGTTTCCTTTAGTTACACAAATTGGCAGTCTTGTATGGATTGCAATTTTTCTTACTCCGTTTATCTGTATGGTTGGCAAAGTGAAAGCAATTACACACCATGTCCATAGTGGTCATGTTTCTTGTAATATCACTGGCATCCTTTCTCACTGGATTTTGGGCATAGCATTTCAAATGGCGCGCATCGTCATAACACAGAACATCTAAAAGATAGTAAAAATAACATCCTTTAAGGGAAATGTTGTTTGACAGTACATGAATTAATACATTAAGAACTTTGTTGATTGTTTCTTTGTTGTACTGTTATAATCATGCTCATAACAAATATACTTACCATTGTCTTTTATTTTCTTTAACAAATTATGCTCGTGCATACACTTGTGACTTGCTCTCAGCCTCAAAAAGCACCACATCAACCACGATGGAACATGGCCTTGCAAACAAGAGGATGCCTTTACAAATAAAACACTAGTTAATGTTGTTGGGTGTGCTTTCTTCGATGTTATTTAGCTGTCATAAGATAACTATGGTTGATAACTGGCTAAACAGATGATCCGGTTTCACAATATATGCTTTGATCAACACAAAAAATGTTCTTTGCAAAGTTGCCTGCAGTTTTGTTGTTTTGCTTTTGTGTTTTCCTTTTTCTGTACCACAATTGAGCTTTCTCACAACACAATTTCATATTTTATATTGTCATCTTCGCACTGGACACCAAAACCTGAACTACAACCCAATAACAGAAAAAAGTATAACATTATTAGGTAAGTAAGGAATGCATTTAACACCATTGTTGCAAACGTGCATATGCAGATAAAACAGCCGGGTGGTGGATCTCTGACCTACAGACCATGTGTAAACATGTGGCATAAACAAAAATTACTGAGCTTGCCTAAAACATTCTTCTTTCAAGGATCTCACTAAGATTTCAAGTTGCCAGGGAAAATCCCCAGCCCCCGGCTCTCGATGACAGCCCTGGACTTTAATAACATAACAGACGTCTTTACAGAAGATAATAGCTTTAAACACTAACTTCAAGAGGACTGGACTTCCATTTTGCTAAAACAAAAAAAACAGGGAGAATCTTTATTCACGGTCCATGGTCAACAACCTTTTTTGAGATAAATGTTGCATTCATAAGTAGGTTTACCTTTTAAAGATTAAAACCCCACTGTTTGTATTGCTATTGTTTGATGACATCAATTATTGTAGCCGGCCCTGTCTCACCTCATGCAAGGACACAAGTTGTTGTTCATATCTCTCCCGTTTTATGACCTTGCTTTTCACTTTAGAGGAAGATTTTCCTCTCTTAGCCAACTCTTCGGTCCATCTGCCCAAAGAACCTTACAGACAAAAAATAATTCTACTATGACATTTGGAACTATAGTTATAGTTTATGACATTAAAGTTACACTAAACATTTTTTATGCCTCCTTGCACGCTTGTCTTTTATACCCTTATTATAAAGAGAACCTTTAGCTAAATTCTGGGGTCATCAGTCGAGCTATGTTTGCAAGAGCGCTTAAAGAAATAAGGAACAAGGATGTGTTTGGGTATAATTTTGGCCATGCAAGATGGCCGATTTATTGTAAAAATATAACATCTTCAAACAAATTTAAGTAGCTATGATTATTTGATTTTTTACGCTCTGGCAAAGGTGAAGGCGGAGAAAAAAGGCACCCAGAGTAAATAAACTACTATTAAAAAAGGGCAGAGGAAAGGAGGAGGAGGGTCAAATTCACAAAGTTTGTTACGTCAGGAGACCAAGAGGAAGACTTCGGGGAACACAGCTTGTCGTATACCCTAACCTTAAATGAAGTCTAGGCCAAGTACTTTTCCGAACGAGCTTGTGACTGGTAGTTTTACAGCAAGTAATATTCCGGCAAGTAATTTACCAGCTAGTGATTTCCCGGCTAGTAATTTTCCGATTGATCTCATGATAATCGTGTGATCAATACTTGACTATTTTGTGTCAAATTGGACCCTGCTCACAGCTCTTCCCTGCCAATTACCTATGTTAAAGGTCAATGCGTGACTAGGAATAAGTGTCCCCCTTAGCAAACTAACATAAATTATTGCGTGACTAGGTGACATAAACATTTTTATTTGCAGGCAAATAAATTCCTATATTCTGGGCAAAACCAGTAAACTTGGTACATTTCTTGAGCTCAATAATCCCTGACATAAAATGTATCATGAAAACAAGGTTTTACCTACATGTATCAGTACACCAAATCTGGACATTATGCTATTAATTGTGCAACCACAAGTGTCTGTCTTTATTAAGAAATACCATAATTCAATAGCAAAATAAATTGCAAGATGACAGGCCTTCTCAAAGACAAGTTTCTGTACAACTCATTGCATTGTCTGTTTAAATTCGATGTCTAGCTTTTTACTGCCTTTCAAGTTACAACCAAAATACATTTCAATTATTTCGAATAATGAAACCTAGAAAGTATGTTACAGAATAGGTATTGGTGTTATATGCCTGTTCATTAAGTTTGGTTGCAAAAGACTGAAGTACATTAGTCTCCTTGAACTGCAAAGTGAATGTAAAAAATCTAAACACTCAGCTGTGCATTGAAATAAACAGACGATGGCATGAGTCATACCTATACATGTTTTAAAAAGGTGTAGGGCTTGAATGTATTTTGATTTTACTTTTGTCATGAATTTATGGAAATAATTATTTAATATATTTTAATTATCATTTAAATCACAACAGCTGTTTCAATTAGTACTTGCCAATAAATGTTTCATGGTAGCTTAAGGGCATGGTTGCAAAAGTTGTGTTACTACACTTAAAAGGTTTTTCATTTTTAATAAACATTCCAGTGCATCAAAATCAGTATCATCTATCACAACAATGTATCAATTCTTACCTCAAAAATTTTCCCATCTTGTAGACACCTTTCATTTAAAATTTGCACAATGACAGTGCAATCTTCAGGATCATCCTTGTTTGCATGACTAGTTGCAGTATCATCTTTGACTATTGAGTTGCATAGCAGTCATGCAACTGACAATATCTCAGGCCTTTTGCGGGAGTATTTGGACATCCTTCATAAAGAAGTACCTAAAGAAACAGTATTTCGAGAGGACTGCTACCCGTTCTGCAGTGTATGCCACAAAAGGGGATATAAGCCAAAGAAGAAAATCATGAGAGCTTTCAGGTCATTAAATCACCCTTCCTATTGCAATATATGATGAATCACGTTGTTATTTAAAACATGTATCAAAATAAAACAAACTTGTGTTTAGTCAATATCTGACGTCTCATCTTATTAATATTTGACCTAAGAACTCCAACTTATCTCCAGGGGAAGGTACTAAAGTGTAAAGAAAGCATTCAATTGGAAATATCTAAAAAGTTGGAAATAACATAGAGAGTGCCCGCCTGCTCGCTATTTTATAGAAAGACAAGAAACATTTGTTTTTTTATTATCGCCTAGAGGTAAACTGCCTTAAAATGTAAGCCTGAATAACACTAGCACACAAGAACTAAACCCCTTTAAGGCTTTGTAACATCTCTTTCACGTACAAAGGTCTGTTGCTGAAGAACATACAATCTTATCAAGAAAGACAGTATACATCCACAACAAGAGGACGGTTGGTTGTAGCTACCACATCCATGAATACGTATGTAAGGTTCACTTTTTTTAAATATCTACTAGCAATAGTTGACACTACAGCTGCCGCCGCTCTGTATATTGTCGGTCAATAGCATCCTTGCTCGTTTGAAATATACCAATTCATAAGGAAGATTTTGCACATATATTCCATACAATAGGGGAGATAAATACAGGAAACGCAAAGTTCCATGCACAGTTTCAGGTCGATTTACACAGCTTTGATCAAAACATTCTCAGTTTCAAGAATAGTTTATTCTAAACCATAAGAAAAGATTTAATTAGAAGTTGAATTTTTCGCTATTTCTCTTTCACTTTTTACATTCAGTTCGTTTTATTTATCACATCTAAGGTGAAACAGTACTATTTATCACACAGACCTCGGACAGAATGCATTATTTCACAGTTTTTCAAGACAAATTGCACTCAGTCAATATTCAGGACAATCAAACATGGCGTTTTAGCAAGACCGTTCCAAAAATTTCCAAAATCACCTATAAGGCCAGCCGGTTCTCACTTTTGATGAGTGCCAAATTTGCAGTGACTAACAATCAATAAAAGAAATGTAATTCCGTGGAACATTTACAGAGACTACAATTTTCATTCACGAAGACAAGTATTAAAGTGTTTCTAAAAATCCTGAGTCTTAAAGCTTAAAGCTTAATGAGTTTATGTTTTAAGCTGGCCTCTTGGTGTTTGCTTTTCTCACAGGTGAATTTGAGGCAAGAAATCGCTCAAAGTTTTCTTTCTAACATTTTCTTTCTATTTGCAGTTAGAAAATATATCTAAAGGCTTTTTAAGGTTCTGTAAGCTTATATCAAACCTGATACCAGGTCAGATCATTGTCTCAAATCTTAGAAACGTGCATAAAGTTGCTGCATAAACTGTGCTCGACTACATGAAATTAGATAAAAAAACAAACATCAAATACAATAATTACCCAGGCTTACCATTCGAGCTGCAGGTCCTAAAAGCTATCAAGTAATGCCAGAATTGCTTGAGAATTTTGAACCCTCTTTAATATGCATCAAGCAAGGTGAAAAACGAAAACGATGACATCCGAAATCAGATTTCCAATTTTGACAGGCGACGCATGTCTCAACCAAAAAAACAATAAACAAACTAGCCGTAGATAACAGAAGACTCTTGATAGCAGCTGTATTTCATTTTGTACATCTGGTGGAAAAAGACAGTTAAAAACATCACAAGTTGACACAAGACTGTCAGGATCAGCTGTCAAAGTAAACAAGTTTCAAGATGCTGCATAAATTTTCCGCATGAACTCTGCTGTGAAATTTTGACCAATCACAGCATAAAAATTGAACGTACAGTTTAACCAACCCATGACCTGGGTAATAAAAGGTCTACCCCGCCTGTATTTTAAATAACTGGCTGAATTTTCGCATCCGCGGTTGGTTTGAAATCAAAATCTTAATAGTGTGGGGCCATCGTGACATAAACACAGCATGTTTCATATAAACATTTAAAAAATAAAATTGAGCCTGCGATCATTTGAAAACCAGTAACTTACCAGTAGATAACTTCAAAAAAAGTACTAGATCTCGCTAGGTCAACACCTGAATGGGCCAGCCGATACCTTGTTTTGCTAGCTGTCAATTGATCACAACATTGACTTGCAATCAGCTTCCTTCTGGGCTCCCAGAGTAGTTAGAAAGTGAGAAAGTAAACATTGGTTTTCCTGTGGTGTGGAAGGATGGCGGGGGGCGGTCGGTTGGTGTATAGTCACGTGATTACCAAACTTTTCCGGGATGGGTAGATTTACAAAGCTATAGGGCTCCGCCCATGGGCACTTTGCACGCGTGTGGAGCTCCGCTATGAAGAACTATAACCTAAATAAACAGTAGCAATAAGTGTTCATATCGATACTTAAATCCCACATGATGTCAGTCACATCCACTTTGGGTACAAACTTGGGTCATGGTCTTCTACACTACTCTCCTCCCAGCTGGCAGTACTACTTGCACTTGGAGAAGCAGAAGCTACAGTGATGAAAGGATTTTGCCCCCCAGAAAACGGCTGTAGTACACTGTATTGGGTTGGATTGTTGTGATAAGCATCTCCAGAGGATGTACATGATCTTGCTGACAGTGTCTTGGTGCATTGAACTAATAATTACTACCTTGAAGAGAATTCAGCTGCTGAAACCCTGCCAGTGTAGCCTGGCTTGTTTTTTAGGTTCTGGTGGCCCTCTTGAGACCCTTTGAGTAAACTGATGACACTGCATGTTGAGCAAATAAAATATAAGACCACAATAGTCAGTGTAGATAACTGGCTTATTGAATCTTTAAAGTTCTTGTGACGCCTTTATAAGCCAATAAGGACTGTGTAACTAAATAATGAAATTCACATTATACATACTCTTCAGCTCCTCTGCATGAGCCTTAAAAGAGTAAATGCAAATGAAATGATCATATGGTTGTGCAGCCCAATCAAACACTACTGCCATCTTCGTCTTAAAACATATAGTGCATACCCACTTCATCAGGTCAAAGTAGACAGACTGCAAATTGTATTAGTTGCTAAAAAAGATATATCTACGTGTCGCAACTGTTCATCAGTAGGATGCCTAAAATGCATGCAATTCCAAAATTGGTTTCGGCTTCATTAAATCCTATACCAATTGCAGAACATTTTAGGAGGAGCCACCCACCATGTGAGCACAGTCACGAACAGCACGTATAAGGGAGGAAAATAATGCAAAGTAAAATTAAGACGTTACTTAACGAACTCAATGTACACGTCAGTTAAAAAAATAAACAAATAATGCGCGTGCTGAAAATAAAAATGTACGCGCACACGTACCGAGATACAACTGAAATACAACACTTAGAAATAAGTAAGTTATATAAGGATACGATGGTGCAATTCAAGCCTGGATTGCTAATCTCATCTCCCGAAGGGCTGCACCATACTTCTCGACAATAAGACCATGGCGACTGAAGAATTTATTAAATGGGTGGGTTCACATTCCATTCATCCAACATCCCATGGTGATCGAAGAGAGTCATGTTCTAAAATCAATCGTACCATTAAAATAGACAGATGACTGCCACATCCAGTGAACAAAATATAAAGCTACAAATATCACAATGGACTGCTGGTCTAGCATATTTTTAATTGTCCTGGGATGTATCATGAGCCAACACATTGTTTTGAGCAATGTGTCACCAAATATTAAAAAGCACTTTGAGTAAACCCTGTGCTGCAATCTGAATGATATTTATACATGGTCTTAAACTCCTCAGCATAAACTTTGTCAAGAACAACAACAGTTTATTCAGTTATCAAATAATTTAAGTCTATGTTACCCACAATTAGCAGAGCTATTCTAGGTGGGCAACAATACAATAATTGTCTCCTATAAAGTCGGCAAAACAATGAAGTAAAGAGAAAGCAAAAATAAAATGAAATAAATAGATAAAAGATAGCACTTATAGAGATAAAGGAGGAAAACACTTAACCTGAATAAGGAGTTTAGGTAGGAACTGCTAATGGTACTCATATCAACTTACACCTTCTTAGTCTCCAAAACCTTGATCAGTAATTTATGTAATCTACGCGTGAAAGGCTTTTGTGCTGTTCACTTAATGGAAGAGGAGTTTGGTTCCAAATTCTTACACAGCTTCTAGAAAAAGAGTAATAGCTGATTGAGTCTAGATCTCTGGACATAAAATTACCTGCAACAGAAAATCTGCTATAATGAGAGTGGATCATGTTAGACTGGATGAACAATTCAGAAATTTTAGCTATTTTATCTAATGGCCACAGCGAAGTACAGCCCAATCACCTATCACTTAGAACTTCATCTTGTAACACTTAATACAAATCTGTCTTGCCAGATGCTGAATAACATTTCATGCATCCATATTTAATCTGCAAAGTCAACAAAAATAATTATAACAAACGGCAAAGAAACTTAGAATGAGACCCCAGTCTTGCTCCAAATCTCTTAAACAAAGGCCCACTAAATCACAAAGCCAAGCAGTATTTGGTGCAGATAACAATTTTTGGGTTAGGTTTAGGTTAGAATTTAAGCTCTGTTAATATGAGAATATTATCACTACTTCTCAAACTTATTAATAATTCATGACGTTATAACCCAACCAGAGCGCCCCATTCGGTTCAGGTGGATGACTTTGAAACTCAATGAAACACCAGTTGAAAATGACTAGTGTTTCATCATGTTTTCATCCCTAGTGTTTCATCACGTTTTCATCACTAGTGATAAAATTGTTCTCAATCTGTATATACATAGATTACTCAAACACAGCTTAACATAAATCATTAATTTTTAATAAACAATAGGCAGGAAAGACATTTTTAATTACAACCTGACTGGCTCTTTTTCTTTTTGTTTCACTTTCAAACCAACGCCAGCTCGAGTCCCATCCTTCATTTCTGCATCCAATATTCGTCTACAGATAGTAAATCTAATGAGGAAAAGAGAAAAGTTCAATGCAATTTCCTTAAGTTTTAACATATCAAACGGCCCCCCTCTCCAATAACGCCAATTCATGCACCTTTTGTATGAAGAGTCCAAGGGACTGAAATGGACAGCTGGGTTGTTTTCCACCATGAATCGGCGAATGCCACACAATCTGGTACAACGTTTTCGAAGGGTATGGATCTTTGGAACACTTTGCCACCTCTTGAACAAATGTGGACAACCAATAGTTGAGCGTCCATGCGTCCATCTCTGATATGGGCCGAGTAAGTGGCTGAACTTTGTCCAATTCATACTCTGTTTGAATACTCTGCTATTTGAAGCTAAATAAATAAATAAATGAACTGAGAGCAGACATGAGTCTTGTGGATTACTTGGTGGATGGTGACCTCCTGTGTACGTAAGCAGTCCCAAGGAGTACAATTTTCTGAAGCTCTGTTATTATGAGATTAGTACATATCACTACATCTCCAAGCTTGGTGCCCTCAGGGTTTAAACCCATGAAGCACCAACAGAGAAAACACCCACGATAACAGAGTTATTCATTTTCTTTGTTGCTATTTACTATGCTCTGGCTTGGTCTTGCATGCAGTATCACAGAACTGCTGCAATGAATGGTGCGTAAAATCTTGAAAAGGCCCTGAATTTTAGTAGTCCTCTTGAAAAATCATTGAATGTTGATAGAGGTCTTAAGTCCTTGAATCTCCTTGAGGTCCTCCAAAAGTACGTGATTTGTTTATGAGGTCTTGAAAAGTCCTTGAAATTCACTACCTTGCATATGCCATGCACCATTTTCTGATCAGTTCTGATCTACACGTTAACCACCAGCTTCTGTTTAACTTTCTTGCACATTTTGTCTACTAGGTAGCTTCCTTCACTCTTTCAGTGCTACCAACCTGCTGGTAGTTAAAGCTAAAGATCCTTTAACAAAAGCTGAAGATCTTTTAACGAGGGAGCCAACACCCGTTAAATTGATAAACTCAACAAGTAATTTAAAGGGAGCATCTAATTATGTATCAATTTTAATGCCATCATTAACAGACTGTCTGGGAGGAAAGCTGAGATCTTGAACTGTGCGTGGAATTCTGGAGTCGCTTTCAGAACACACTGTAGAGGAGATATAACACACTCAACACTAAAAGGATTAGTCCGAAAAAGGTCCAATGCTACAGTCTCAGTCAAGATGGTTGGGACACTTTGGGGTCTTCTTGTCCCCTCAATGTTGGTGTACAAGATTTGGTGACCGAACCATGATAAATAACTTTGAGAGGGGCAAGGGGAGCACGAGAAGGAAAAAAACAGCGTTTCATTAAAGTGTCCCAACTATTTTTGTCTGAAACTGTGTCGGGGAGGAATTTGAAGGCGTGTTGACAGATACAGAGGTTAATCTGTAGGTTAGTCACAAGTGATGGGTTTGTTGGTTTTGGTTTGTTGGGCGTCCATTGTGTTTTGCAAACGTTTCTATAGCAGTGAACTAAGTTATTTGGGCATAACAACATAACACAAAGAATGACCAGTTCGCAGAAATTTCTGGTGCAGAGTAGAGTATTGGAAAATAAAAGGAACTGAGTGTGTACTAAACCGTACACAAATAGCTTTCAAGTGACCGATTGATAGCGTGACAATATAGCATGTGCATACTATCTACGTAAGATTCAGGGTTTTCATATCAGGAGAGTTGCTCGAATGTGCCACATTTCTAGAGAAAATGTGTGGAGAATAATAGAGAAGGCCTCTTTGCCAAGAAAGAGTGTAGGAACAAGGCCCAAAGGGACACCTTTCTAACTTAAGGGTAAGAGGCGAAGGACTGCTGCAAGAGCGATTAAGCAGTTTCGAGAGAAAGGGGGAAACTTTTCCTCCAGTTTGGAGGAATATGCAACAAGCCAGGATTATCCCCAAGACGTATCAGTGAGAACAGTATCCCGCTTTCTTAATTTTGAAACACACTATTGACTACAAGCCCATGAAAAGGGTGACCAACAATAGTGTAACTGTTTGGTCCTACCCCAAAAAGTTTCTTAATGATGTTCCAGGCTACTGCTGTGAAATCGACAACTTTCTATAAGTTGTCTGCAACATATGTTAATTTGGCCTTGTGCCAAATGGTGACATTGGTTCTCATTCTTCACCCCAAATATACACCTTCCTGAATAGCTCTAAAACAAACTACTTTGCCATAAATGTGGGGATTGAGGTATAAAACATGAATCATATCAAACGGGGACACTACCTATCCTTAAAACCTCAAAAAAAGCGTGATACTCGACGTGTACGGGCCACCGTACATTAATTCAATTAAGATATTTATAAGTTTCTTTCAGTGAACAATTGCGTCACCATGATCAAAGTCTTAATAACTTGTCTTACATGTATCAAGGCGCTATAAACCTTGGCTATTTCAACTAGGTGTGAAAGTACCTTATCCTTTTCTTTCTTAATCCATTATATATACCAGAGAGGTCTTAGAAAATGCCCTGGATAGTATGGAGACCCATCCAATCGTGTCTCCACCGGTACAATATATTAGCAGCAAGATACACAGCCTCCGAAATAATGCGCGCAGTTTTGACTCATACGTTGTTCACTCTTTAAACCCAATACGTAGAAAGCTTTTTTAATACCTTGGAATGTTGTAAGTAAAGGAACAAAGACTACTTTCCTCTAGTGATTGTCCTCTCTCTTTCTATCTGTGAGATCTGTAATGTTTTTCCCCAAAAAAATGGCTCTGAAACGTGCATATAGCTGCCTAGCTATTTCCTGCCACTAGAGCCAACGAGGAGTCACGTACCTAAAATTCCTCTAAAACACAGTCTCAGTCAAAATGGTTGGGACACTTTGGGGTCTCCTTGTCCCCTCAATGTTGGTGTACAAGATTTGTTGACCAAACCGCAGGTACCTAAGTGATACCAGAATTTTCAAAGGGTAAACTCAAAGGTGGCCTCCAGGTCTTCACCAAGAATAAAGTGTTTGCATGATGGAGTGTAATACCTCTTATGGGGAATGGTATGAGCAGATACTCAATTTAACAAACACTGAAGTGCATATTATAAGAAATGTTGATACGTACGAGGTGCAAGAGACAGTCTCTTGCCTGGAAAATCATGGACTCCTTCCTTCGAGACAGCTGTCAATGTTCAAAACATGTAAGCGTTTTGCCACACTTGCTTCTTCTTAAATATCAGTATACGTGTTGGTGACTCAGATATTCTTCCCGTGCCACTTGCGAGAAATTTTGGTTGTTGGTTTGATTCTAGGCTGTCCATGGCATCACACATCACAAAACTCTTTGCCTCTTTATTTTACCATATTTATAATATTCATTGGATCAGAAAGTATCTTTCATGGCAGTCAGCTGAGATACTTGTCCATGCATTCATAACAAGTCGCCTTGACTATTGCAATGGTCTTTTATATGGGCTACCAGACTGCTTGTTGAATAAACTGCAACGAGTACAGAACGCTTGCACCAGACTGATTTTTAGAGAACAGAAATTTTGTCATATAACTTCTCTTATTTATGAATTACACTGGTTACCGCTTAAATATAGAATTGAGTTTAAAATACTTCTAATTACTTTTAAGATTCTTAATTTTTTAGCACCTACTTATTTATTGTCTCTCATTTCTCTTAAACTCCCATCTAAATATAATCTAAAGAATTCTAGTGATAACCTTTTACCTAATTATCAACGTTTTAAATCTAAAGCTACACTAGGTGATTGTTCTTTTACCTGTGCTGCACCGAAACTGTGGAATGCGTTACCATTTGACGTAAGAAGGGCCAGCACAGTTAGTATTTTTAAAGGCAAGGTAAAAACTCACCTTTTCCGTCATGCATTGTAAGTTAACTCTTAATTGTAATTTTAGGTTTTTAGCCTTTTTATTTCGTTTTTAATCTTGTCATGCGCATTTGAACATTTTATAGAATTTGCCCATTATAAATGTTTTATTATTATTATTATTATTTAGAAATTGTATTGCCTTTCAAGTGAAGTATATGTAAAAACCTGTAAACCAAAGGGGCACTTTCTTGAAAAGAGTTCATGTGTTTGACAAGTCAAGCTACTGGCATCTTTCAAACTTTCGGTATAATGTTCCGTGGCTTCAAAAAATAATATTCCACCATGCATAACACACAGATGAAAGCTCAATGAGGTCGGCTAGTTCAAGGTACTGAAAAATCAAATGCCAAATAATACAATCCACAGGAGACAGTTTGATTCGATTCTGAGAGAAAACAAACTGAAACTCAGACAGTGCTTACCTTAGCAAACGCGTGGAGTGTGAATAACCTGTTGTCAATTATCTAAAATGATTTCTCAGGTAAGTCTGAAATCAAGACCCATTGCACTGAGCCTTTTATGCTTTGTTTTAGGTGTAGCTGATGAAATGTATCACCCTTTGATTGGAGTATTCTTTTCATAATTTCCGCTATATTTGATTTTTGAGTGCAACCAATGCTCGTTCGTTATTTAGCACACTCGCTCATTATCAGTGGAATTTCTGTGATCTGTCAACTTCAAAATGGCTGAATGGTAAGGTTCATATACAGTCCGATGAATAAGTGTAGATGGGACATAATGATAATTGTAATGAAGAAAAACATTATAGTCGTTTATGCGAACTCTTACTAGAGTTTGCAGTTTACTTATCTATTTAAGATATGTATTTATGTATATGTATATGTATATATGTATATGTATATATATTTCGAGTATGTGACATCACATACTCGAAAGAAAAGAAAAGTTTTGTTAGTTTATTCCTAGTTTACTACTCATCTATAATAATTAAAGATTACAAATGAAAAACATGATTTGCATGAAAATGAACTGCACAGGTTTATTTACTAATACATAAATAGCTGCATGAGGACTTATTATAATTATTCTGGCCAACCAAAGCACATGCAGACAATTCAATCAACTAATCAGAATTTGAAGCAAATCCCTGCAGCTACCAAGGGGTTAACAATAGGAGAAAGATCCAACACAAATCAAGTCAACTATTAAAGTCCTTTAAAAAGCTCAGATGAAAGTTGCGCTTGAATGTGTAGATTTCTTTTTTTAAGCCTGGCGAGGTTTCAACTGAAACTGTATGAATTCACATCATATATAAACACAATAGATCTATTATATGCGAGGGCTCAATGTTGAATCCTTGGTTTTTGTACTGTTTGCTCAAATTTTATTTCAGTTTGGTGAGTGTCATAAATGATTAAAGAAACAAAAAATGAAATTTGAACACAG